CGTGGATTGACGGCTGGTTATCGTAGAATTCATCGTCAAATTCTTCATTCTATTAGCCGATAAGCCTATAATGCAATCAGGGATACATTTAAAGATGGGTTACCTAAGTTGTATGCATGGACTACAACAAGCCTCAGATGGACTACTTTCCAGTGTGAAGTATTGAAAGTAGGTCTGTTGTTGTTCGCTTAACTTTGAAGTCGAGTCAGATCTTTTTGTCGCGCCAGCTAAACAACTTCGTCACGAGCTTCCAAATCTCACAATTTTCGGGAAAATTTGACCCATTTTGGTGAAGCCGCATTAGAAAATTTTGATGAGGTGTCAGCCAAACCCCAAAACATCCCGAAATTTCCCCAGAATCTCAATACAATTTGGGAAATCGTCCTGTATTTAATAATAAAAACTCAAAAATTTTCACAATTTTGGGTGAACTTCGCGTTTTCTTCTAATGTTTCGGTTTCTCTTTAAACTTCGGGGAAGGACATCTGACCTTGGGGTTCTTCTCCGAAATTACCTCAAATGTGAGAGCCTGTGTTCCATCCAGAGTTTCTCAACATCAGCGAAAATTAATGAATCAGACGATACTTATCGAGGAAGATCATTTATATAAACTAAGAAGAGAAGATCTCTTAGTACAGAACCCTGTGATATTCTGTAGTCTGAAAAAAGTCGAGTTTACTCTGACCTCGGAAAATTGATTATTTAAATATCGAAAAGGCCGATTAGCTAAGAGTCACGTGATGCCTAACCGTTCGAACTCATTAATAAGACATATTTGTCTGACCTTATCGAAGGTGTTTTAGAAGGCGAGGTATGAGTTATCAACCATCCTCTTGTGATCAAGGATAGTTGTTCATCTGTTCACTGGAGTCAGCAGTCTGTTTATACAAGAATAACCCTTACTGCAACCGTTCTGTTAAGGTGAGAGGAATTTTTCGGATAGTAAGTAGTCACATAAACCATCGCATAACATGGTGTATATGATCTTTCAGGGTATTGAGAGGAGTGCTGTAGATTAGAGGTTCGTTGCTTCGACCTCCTTTGAAAATTAGTGTTGTGTCCACCAACCTCCAATTTTATGAGACCGTGCTTGGGCTTAGCAAATACGAGAGTATCATATTGAGCGGTTTTGCCTAGATTGAAGCCGCTTTCCGCAATGTAACAGAGGGAACTATATCCAGACGCTATTGATCATCCAAAAAAATTTAATGAAAAAACCAGCCGATTAACTTAAGTATTTCACATTGAACGTAAGACCTCTTTACCCATCTGCATCCTAGCCTTCTCTCAAATATTCTCATACTTTTCTCGAAACTGTGATGAGACAGCGTTATAGCTTCCGAGTTGAAGCCCTGAATTTTTTCACACCGAATTGGGAACAATTGTAGAGCAAGTGAGCGATCCCATCTTTGTCCTACGCCCTTAGTGGGTTGAGAACTGTTCGTTACCTTATTCTGTCTTTACTTTTATTTATTCAGTTGTCCCATTAATTGTAATCGACTCAGTTAATCTGCTATGAGTATTAATCATCATAACATTACGATATTACTTGTGTACAAGCGTTAATTTTTTAATGGACAATGCGTAAATATGAGTAAATCTCGATCGAGAAAGTGAAAGTGTAGAAAAGGATTAAGAACAGGCTGCGTTTCTTCAGTCGGGCTTACCATTGCAGAATTATGATCTACTATGACATTAGTACTGCTTTAATAATAGACCTGATCCTTAAATTGTAGATTTTTCATGATGTAACTGCCTAATCCATGAGATCTTACATGGAAGCCACATCATTGTCTACGCCAACTCATTTCATCGTAACAATTATCAATACATGATGGAGAACACATTAAGTTTTTGAGATATAACAATATATTTAATGTGAATTAAAGATTATGCTATAACACGTAAGACTGACCACGCCTCCAAGGCTGAGCCATGCCGTCCGATCGATTCGAATTAATTCAATTTGTTGTTCCCGCCTTCTCCGTCGTTAGGTTTTTCTGCGCATTAAACGTTGAATATATACTTTCCCAGTTGTCTCGTGTCTAGCTTTAAAGATTGTGTAGTTAGGGCTCGATTCCACTACATATGTATGATCGCGGAAACAGTTTGAACGGTATCAAACTGATGCGATACATCATATTCTTTGATAAGCGTTACCATCTGATGGGGTTCACCTGAAGAACTGGATAGTTTGTCCGCGGCCGCAAAATGAAGAACCATGATTTTTAGATTGTGCATGCTAGTTGATGGCACTCGTAGAAGGTGCTATCAGAGCGCACCCAGCAAAAGCCCCTCAACAAATCGCGAGCACATTAATTCTTCTCGGACCGGGAGATCTAGATGAGGAAACACTTGGATTGCTATTAGTTGCAAAGAGTGAAGATAGTCAATAGGATCTTTACTCACCTTCTCGTGACGTGATAGAAACCGGCTGGTCACCTGCTGTGTTAAAGAATAACATTATTATAAATTTTCAAGTTTTGGGACGACGAATTGCTTGCCGCGAAGCCGTTGCTCTTGCTGCCTCACCGGCGGATCATCATCGTTTCCATCACGCTTTGCCGTAATCACCTCCATTACCAGGTGTAGCACGTAGCATTATCGTTTACTTGGAATCACGAGTGATCATGCAGCAAATCACAAGAGCAAAATCGTGACTGTTGTGGTACAAAAAAGGAAAACCGATTGCAAAATATTTTCATCCTTCGTTCTGCAGGTTCAGCTTACGTAGTGCTTGTTCCTCTTATTCCAGTACATTTACTCTTTTCTGCCCTGCAATAAGCAAAAAAGACTCATGTTAGTAAGGTCACATGTATTGTATTTGGAACTCGAATTTAAGCAGTCAACAAGTACAAAGGAATCACCAGTTCATGCACACACCACATTTTACTTTCATTTGCAGCATACGCTTCACTACTTACCTTTTTAATTTCTTTTATTGAGAAAAACTGACGTATTGTATTAAGTGGCTCAACGGTAACATATAAAAGATGATAACTGACTTACTGTTACCTGAACAAATGTTTTCAAGACTGGTTCATCAATTCTAATATTACTTCTGAAGATTGAATTTAGTATGGTCAAACTTCTTTGTGGTTAACTGTCAACGCGTACTGTAACAAAAAGACCTATGTTTGATTTTTTTCTAGCGAATCCCTAAACCTAGTGGAAAAACTACTGGCTTTCGCTTAATCATTCAATTGTAAAACATTTTTCTAAATACTGCTAAACTAACTGCATACTGGCTATACCAGTTTGCATTATTTAACTTGACATTGTTTATCAGAAACTAAGAGGCTATATTTAAAGAATATGAGTGTAACGGGATTAAAATCATCATGTATGATGTGGTTAATAGATTTTGTTTTCTTTCTATTGCCGTGCAAGCAAGAATAAATGCTTTAGAAGAAGAAGATCAAGCCCTGCACACACTAAACTTACAGACCGACTCACAAGACCGTCTTGTAAACTAGCTCTGTTTTCTGTACATAACCCGCGAATTTTAATTTTCAAATAAACGACTGGTGGTCTCCATTCCGTGTTCTCTCTGTGGTGTGAAGTGTTCAGTTAACATTGTGTGTGTTGTGGCTTTAGGTATCCTCGCTTTCCAGTGACTGCTGATTACACGTGTTACATGGGTCTTCATATCAGTATCTAATAAATTATTTTCATACAATCTAGATTATCTGGCTGGACTCATTTATGGAGATGGTAATGATAGACGATGCCAGTAAAGATTACGTCAAGAAGTCCTCGATCCTTTGTATTACAGCTAGATACAGTAGATTAATTAATCACAAATAATAATTTGATGCTGAAATAGACTACATATGTTGTTGTTTCTTATTGTTACTACACTTCAAGCTTTGACTTTGCATCACATATTTAGCAAACACTTAAGTAACCCCAGAAGTTTGGATATGTGTACAGGAAATGTGTCCACAGATATATACATGCTCTAAACACCCTGGGAGTACAGGCACCTCCCTGTACGGAGATTTGTGTTGACCGGCTACCATCAAAAGAACAATCCTATTTCGAATTCTTTCTATCCACTAAGCCTCATTGCAAACAAAAATACGCCCTACTAACCGCTAAAAAAACAATACGCTAAACCAAATTTAGCTGTAACTAGAGATGTCAAGCTTAAACCTATGTACATAGCTGAAAGCAATATGTAATAATAGATATTGCAACTTATTCTTATATTTATGTTTCTACGAAAAGGAATACGAATTTAGATAATTGAAGGGTAGAGTTTCAATGATTTGTTAGGAGTAGGTGTTAATTCCGAACAAGATTTCTATTTTATCAGTCCCATTATTATTACATTCAACGGAAGAGTAGTAGCTAGATTTTGAGATGGTGGAGAAGATTTGTAGCTCAGGTGGATGATTTTGGTGGAGTTTTGTTCTCTGAGCTGGATGGTTTGGTCGACCAAACCATCCAGCTCAGAGAACAAAACTCCACCAAAGTAGCTAGATTGTTTCGGTTGTTAACAACTTAATGCGATAGTTGGTCAACCCAAGATCGTTCGACGTGAAAATTTCCGAATCGAGTGCTCTGAAATCCAAGAGAACAAAAATTAACCCATTTGTTAATGTTCATTTCAAATTGTGGTTGTACGTATATAGTCTGACTAAATTGAATTAAGTCAAGCTTAAATCTAAGCAATATGAAGATAATAGTTCAACTTGACACAAACTTTTTCACCGTGTGAGACACAAAAATTGCTCAGAAGGTTGAATTAGAACACATCCTGGCGCTCCACCAAAGACCATTGTTAGACTACATTGTCAGATTACATGATGCACAAACCCGAAAATAGCTACCAAAGTGATTAATACTGTAACAGTTGAGCAGCCTGACTACAGCCACTAGATATTACCAAATACTTGTAATGGAACCGGAAGAAGCGAGCATAAATGAATCGATCGCTTTAAACAAGCCGTTCACAGAAATATCGGGTAGTGAAACCGCGCTGAGAACGAGAGGTGATGTCTGTCCGCTTATATCTATCGAGATTGTCATGTTTAAGACATTTCGTCCATACTTCAAGAAAACTAAAATGTAAGATCAATTTCTAAGTTTCATAGATTTAGTTCCGGTACATATCAAAATGCCTTCTTTGTCCCCAACCATGTCTGAGGGCTCAATCGTCAACTGGATTAAGAATGAAGGTACTTAGTATTAATTTAGCAATATACATTAATTTGACAAGGAGAGCAGGTAGCTGCTGGAGATATCCTCTGCGAAGTTCAGACGGACAAAGCCGTTATTGCATTTGAATCAGAGGAGGAAGGTGTACTTGCCAAAATATTGGTATGTTGTTTTGCATTATTCATTATTTACACCCCACCTTTTACATTCAGTTTGTCCTGTCGACCGTAATTCTACTTGTTTATCTCTGGACAGTTCCAGACTTCTTGTGTAGATTAAACGTCTATTTTTGTGACAAATACTTTCATACTTAAAGCTGCTTTTTAGTATTAGTTCTCCCTAAGTTTCATTCAGTTGGTAATGTCCCATATTACGTGATTACATAGTAATGTTCGATCATCAAATATAGTGAAAACCAAGTCCAATTAGCGAGACCCGTTCTTTTCGCTGGTCGGAACTAAGGTCTGATATATCCTGAAAGTCATTTTACATACAGTCAATGTATCAGGACGTTCTGTGTTTTTCCTAAGGGAGCGTAATATTTCTATAGGGATCCGATTATCCTCATATGATTTGTTCAGTGTAATTAACTAAGAACTCTCTCAGTCGCGAATCAATGAAATATAAGATGCTAAACGTCATATGTCCAGGAAGCCTTTGCTTGCAAGTGTAAAACTAGTGTTTCCCTACGTTACCAGATTCTCCCAAAATATAGGAATTTTAGTATTGTTTTGGCGATTACTACTTTAATGGCAGAACAAAACGTTTGGGATTCCGTCTGAATCTTGTCAAATAATAGGTCATTTGCAATCTCAGCTGCTCAGATTTTTTATCATTTTACTCTTTTTGTCTTTGAATGTTGTGTGCAGTACCGAAACATGCTTATCGCAGCTATCTCAGCAGGTTAAAGCCAAAACCTTCTATGCCTCGTAAAATTCCGTTGACTAACACCACACGGCTAATCTCAGAGTCAGTGTCGACATCAGTACGCATCCAATGCTTCAAAGGCATCGCGATTAGGTGTTTATCTACCCGAATTTTTCACATGAAACAGAAGTATATTCATTGTGCTGAATAACAATACATTTTTCTTTAAGCCATCACAAGACATAATGAAGAGCTTCTTCGCTTTCAAAAACGTTTTGTCAAATCCATTACATCTCATAGTTGTTCCAAGTAGTATCTTTTTCCCTCTACCTTTTCCATTATAGGTAAAATCTGATGTCTTCATTTTGTCAATCGTTTTTAATTCTGTATAATAAATATACTGACCTAATCCTTTGAAGAAAATAAGTGTTGTGAAACATCAAGTAGTTTTAACAGTCGAAATTCTGATAAGGTCACTATGTTTTGATTAATTGGGTGAAACCTTATCCTCGTACAAAGTGTTTTACTGACCACCTGATTCTAATTAAAAATGTCCTACAATTTAATGTCTTATAGGCACCCACTGGCTCATCAAATATCAAAGTCGGTGGTTTGATTGCTGTGTTAGCCACTCCAGACGAGCATTGGCAAGAGGTGGCTGCTTCCGCTGTATTACTATCACAGCCATCGACAGCCGACAGTACTCCAAAGCAGTCAGAAATAAACCGCACCATCCAGGAACCACAGTCATACCGCTTTTGTTCAATGGGACCTGCGGTTCGTCTTCTGTTACAATCACACGATATGGATGGATCTCAAATAATTCCTACAGGACCACATGGTCAGTTGCTCAAAGGGTAAGATGAACTGGTTTCGCGAGATCCACAATTAAACAGAAGAATGTGGCAGGATTTTAAGCCTACAGATAAGTGGTCAACCACTAAACTAATCTACTTTTGCTCTCATTCACTTACTATATTCTCGTTCTTAGGGCTCTAGAACTAGCACGGGGTTTGTAAGAGAATTTATAGCTGTGTTTTCTATTTGGTTATTTATAACATACTGCTAGTCTGCGTCGCGAGTGACCTTATTCCTGAGTCATCTAATTGACGGTTTTGGCTCGTAGCATATTGACTGAAGTATTTGACTTACAACCAGTTGGTCAAAGGTTCCAAGTGGTTTTCGAATGTCTGGAAATTTTTCTATCAACTTATATGAATATCAGGTTGTCGACTGTGCATAAGGACTGGCGGTTGATACTTCTTGGTTGGCAACAAGGAATATCTAAGGCATATAGCCGTTTAATTATGTTTCTATTCATTTCATTTAAACTATCTGGTTCCGGGATGCAGATAGTGAAAGGACAAAACGAAAATTCACATAGTTCACGCTTTCCCATATAATAGTTGACAAAAGATACTTAAGTTTTGGTCAATAGTCAATCGAAAAACCATGACTACGTAGAAGCAAAACGATGGGAAAATGTGCTCTCACCAATAAAGTGTCGTTGATGGAGTTTTGTTCTCTGAGCTGGATGGTTTGGTGGTGGAGCGTTCATCGTTCTTCTGAACGACATCATCAGCACAAACTTCAGATACAGCAGTTTCAATTGGTTCAGTGTTTAATACGTTTTATACTGTTATTATTTTTATTTACTAATTGGTCCGTTTCCACGAAAATATCCAACAACTTTTTTATATCGCGTTATTGTCTTAGTGTCACCACTCAAATTCATAGTCGACTGTTTCATGATCAACTTAGCAACTCATTGTCCTGGAGTTTACGTTGTGAATTCTAAAGTTAACCATTTACACTGTTTCTTTTGACAGTAATTTATCCGGTTTAAGATTAAACACTGAAGCAGTGATATCATCAATGGAATTTCAGCTTCTGGCTTGTTGCTTCATATCCAGTTTGCTTTGGTCTGCTTAGTAGTATTTCTCCCCCATTCATAAAGATCAGTGTATAAAACTGGTTCGTTAATCGAGTTAAGCACAAAACTATTTAATTATATTTTTCTTCAGGTTGGTTCCTTTCAAGAAATTAAAGAATTTGACTCTTTCATGCGTGAACTTATTAGTAATAATAGGATGGGAATTTTAAACCGAATATTCAACATCGATAAGGTTATTTGTTATGTTCTACGTGTTCATTTTACTTGGTTTTCTTCATCCTAGGGATGTTTTGGCTTACATAGCTAACAACCAAATTAAACCTGTTGTATCTAATCAGGAAAAGCCAATTAATGATATCCCTGTTATGCAAACTGTATCGTCAGTAGCCACTTTCACAGATATCACGTCATTGAATATGAGGAATGCTTTTGCCCACCGTTTGTCGGAATCAAAATTGTCTGTCCCACATCAATATATTCGTGCAACTACTCGCATTAATCGTCTAAATGAATTAAGAACTGAACTGAAAGTGGATTCGGATATAGATTTTTCTATAAATGATTTCATCATCAAAGCTTGTGCTTTAGGCTTAAGGGTAAGTTTGTTTCTCTGTTTGATATCGAATATATATATATATATATATATATATATATATATATATATATATATATAAACTAAATCCAATTAGCTGTCGAATCTGTTATATTACTTTTTTCTTATCTTATTGATATCCGAAATGAGAATTTAAATGCATGTATTTGTTACTAAATCTAAAATAGAAAAGAAAACATCAGCAAGGCCCTACATTACTACAACGTTAGATACAAAATTGCTAATCATAAATTTACTTTCCTGTTTTTTCTCATAGACACCAAACAGTATGAATTACCTTTAAACATGTAGTTTCATTCATTGATTATATTGACTTTCGAGATTTTAGACGTTTGATATCATGTGCTTGTATTTCCACAAGGTTCCATCAAACTATAAAAATAGCTGTTCACTTCCATCGCCCTGTATAACACCATAATGAGAGCTATATTTGGTTTTCTAGATTTATTATTCAGGTGAGAAATCTCATCGTTCAGTCCTTAACAGTTCCGGTCAAAATCGATATCGAACTAGGTATTTTATCTTAGTGACATACTTGAATTTTTTTATTGTCACGCAATCTTTTCGTTAAAATAAGATAGGTAATCATCTAATTCTTCAAATTTTTTGAAGAAAAGGTGGACTTCCTTACAATTCGATTGAATCTGGTTTGAAGTGCTTTAATTATATCTCTAGGGAAAAATATGAGGTGGCGAATTCAAGATCTGCAATTGTTTATTTTACAACCCATCAGTTAGCTTATATCTTTTTTTTTATTGTGACATGTTTTATATATCCACCGAAGGTAGAAGACAAGGTTAAATGTGACCTACAAACGGGTGTGCAGTGCATACGACATAGTTTTTTGGACTGTACTGCGTAACGAGATCTCGCTTAAGTTTGCTACACTACTAATTCGTAATCAGTCATACTCAATGTCCGAAAAATACTGTTTTTAGGTGATAAGTAGATAACCTACAAGTTTTTGAAAAAAGCGTTTAAGTAGCTTGAACACATTGAATAAACAACATTCAGATACAGTTTTGCAGCTATCTGTCAACTTCTGTTTTATTTATGATTAAAATCCTATGGTTATAGTTATGAAAACACATCATTTTCTGCCTTTGTTAAGCTTGTTCCAGATCTGAACGCCATTTATGATTCTCAAGCTGAATCTGCCATTTATCTGAGATCGGTCGATTTAAGTATGACAGTAGCAACTAAATCAGGGTTACTTACGCCAGTTTTGCATTCTGCAGATACACTTAATGTTTCTGATATTTCAAAGTTGTCTCAACAGTTGGTGCGGAAAGCACGAGATGGTATGTTACAACCACATGAACTTGAAGGTGGGAGTTTCACGTAAGTGTCTGTTTAGAGCTTGAATCACATTCATTTCTGGTGTTTTTAGATGTCTCCTAGTAAACCATAATCCTTGTTATGACTTTAAGTTGTGGTTGCAATTTTTACCCTGTGCTAAATGTTGTGTCCTTGACTGAAAAACTAGAGAGCAGCGTATTTATCGACCGATTCAATGACACGTAAACAAGTACGAATGTAATGGACGACCTAGAGTTACGATTGGCCCCGATTCCCTGTCTATCCCAGCCAGTTGAGTCCAGAACACAAATATCAGCCTCTGAGTTATGAATCATTGTATTTCAGACATACTCTATTTATATACTAACCACACACACCACATCGTACCATAAAAATAGAAAACAACATTTTGTACAATATTCAACAAGTGGACAGATATCGACCAGTAGGAAATGTCCATTTAAAGTCCAAGGACACCATTGGACTTAACATGATAATTATTGGTCTATCCTTCGCATCCACAACAATCCTTGAATATTCAACAACCATATGCATCAAAATATGAAGCAGTGTTTGTTAATACATTTTATTAAATTTCCATCAACAAAGATGGGGGAGAAATAAGCCATCCAAATCTTTGAAGATTCCAATTATTTTAAATTAAAACGCGATGCGATCGCTAAATCATCCAGCGACCACTGTTATTGGTAAGGTTAACTTATTAAGAGCCAAAAGTGTTGTGACTAAACTTCGTTTAAAGCCATTAAACTAGTTTTCCAGGGCTTTGTTAAAGATATTAGAAACACTGGGGCTTATCAGTACGAAAGTAGAGTATAGGGAATGACCAACTATGAAATTAATCTCAACCTTAAATATTGAGAGGTACCGATATTCATAGTTTTAGGCAAAACTTTCGAAATTCACTAAAACTTTGAGTTAAAAGAGAATCTTCTTACTACGTATTTCATAGGTGCCTTCGAAATATTGCTCGTACATCCTGGGACCATCGAGTAAGTAACGCAGTTGTTAGGAAACGGGTACTAGGTAAGGATAGCAAATCAATTGATGAAGTGGTGAAACTTCATCAGTTGAGATGGCTGGGACACGTGTTACGTATGCCCAACGACCGACTGCCTCGACGTGCGATGTTCAATGGTATAGGAGTAGGTTGGTAGAAAGATAGGGGCGGCCAGACCAAAACATGGCACAAATCCATGAAGTCACTGACGAGTGGACTGAGTCATGTTGGTAGGTGTAGACTACCTGGTTGGGGACCGCGAGATGATGGCAACCGATGGTTAGAAACTCTGAATGACATGGCTCAAAATCGTTTGCAATGGTGCAGGTGCATACACTCTGTGTTCTCCCAAATTTTAATCTCCTGATTCCTCCATGTCTCTTTTTCCCAAATTTATTTCACTGTATTATACTCTTTAAGTAACATCTCCAAACACTAATCTTCCCGATTACTGCTTATAGTCTTATAACCTCTACCACTACGGGATTTGGATCGACCACTGCATCTCTGTGCTAATATGGTGTGGCAACTCGAACTGATGTACGTACGTACGAAGTTCTACGTTGTTACTGACTGACGTATCTACCATCGCATTACAATTCACCACTAATTTCAGTACTAAATACTTCATGAATTGCTTAGATTTTCAACTTTGGGAAGAAGTACAAATAAGACATTATATAGCATTCAGCTTTTCGTTAGTATGTACTGGGGAACCCAGAATTTGTCAAGTTTTATGAATAATCTGGTTCACAACTCATGAGCCGTTTATTTTGTACAGAGTATTCCACCCGCGACTTCGTGAACTAGTGTTATGCAAATTTCGTAAATTTATCCGTCTTTCTTTTCTTAACAGAATCTTTAATCTTGGAAATTACGATATTCGAGAGTTCACCACTATTGTGAATCATCCTCAAGTCGCTATTTTGGCTGTTGGGAGTGGTTTGCCAGAGGCTTGTATCTCAACATCATATACCGAAAATGAAATAACTTTTTTAACCAATATAACGCTAACATTGTCAATTGACTCACGATGTGTAAGTGAAGTTGTTGCAAGTTCTTTCTTGAAGTACGTTTGTAGTTTGTTAGGAGACTATCCGCATCTTTTACTCGATGGTGATCCTGTTTCTTTGTCACTAAAGAGTAATCATACTTCCACTCAACAAGATGAATTTGATAATCTAATGCTTTCAAAAGTGAATACAGATATAATTCAAACCTTAGTTTGATTCACTGATATGTGCTGTATCTTTCTATTTCTCCTACTTTAATTTCTTCTCTACTTACAGTTATTCTATTTTGAAAGTTAGTATACGTCTGTAAAAGCAACTTTCATTGAAAAAATTAGGCTAGTAATGATTTTGGCTGTTAACTTTTGTTATACTGACTATTAATTAGAATTCTTATTTGTACTGTCGTATCATGGATAAATACATAACTGATAAAGTAAAAGTAACTTGCTAACACTCGCGAATAAATATTTATTTTTCTAAATAAATATGAGTTATGCACTTGGGTATTATTACTGAATTTTATTAGAATTAATGACAGCGCGGATGATCATTATTAGGCAGTAAAGAAATCCTTATATTTAGTTTGGAAGTGACTGGTATTGAAGGATAATCTCGTTCCTAAAATCGTAGTCTCTATAATAAAAACACGTATCGTCAATTCTCATTATTCTTACATAATGCAACAAGTAAAGGAAAAGGTGCTAGAAATTATCAACTAAAAGGTTTTTACGTAAAATAAGTGACAAAAAAAGTCAGCACATTTCCCACTACCTGTCATGTGGTTCGCTCCCACAGTTACACTCCGGGAAACTGATAAGTCTTGCTAATTGAACGCTATATTCGGGCCCTAAGCCATTCTCGTAACCCCCAAGCTAGAAATACACAGCGTCCTGAACACGAGAGGAAAGGCGCAAAATATGCGAGAAGCACTTTACTCCAAAGGTTCGTTTTAGTACAGAAAATACAGGGTTTTTGTAGTATTGTAGATGTTCTTGGGTTTCCCGAAAATTCTGGAATGCTACTAATCATAGCAATATAGTAATCAGCCAATCAGAAACTCTACATGTGACTCTTCACTTTCTTGATGTTTCTGGCTAAACTTCTGGTGAACGCTGATTGGACAAAATGCTTCTTAGTGTTTCCTGAGCCTTTCTTGTCTTTTGAGAGGTTTTCTGAATCGCCCCAACAAGAACTTCACTAATATTCTCATCGACCGAGCTCTCATTTGTAGGTAGTTGAGTCATGTTAGGTTGCCCAGTAGTTGTACCCACTTGCCCGTACCAAAACGTTATGGTACAATTACATACCACGCGTCGTGGTATTGCGAGAATAAGCGCACTCATCCGAAGCTATGCCTATTGGCTAAACATTGATAATCAAGTAGAAGAATATGTATTAGGATGTTCACTATGTCCAAGTGTACAAAGACCCAAGAAAAATCCAGCTTCTCTTTCGGCGAATCTCTGCTTACCCACAGTCAAGAGTAAATGTTGACTTATCGAATAACACAAATCAATAAGCCACGAGTACACTAAGCGAATTTGAACAAAAAAGTTAATGCTAGCGAGCGCATTATGAATCCAACAAAAAGTCGGAAAGGAAAGCGATACGAAGTGACTATTGTTGGGAAAGAAATGAAGGCAGAGAAAGCAAGTGAGCCAACTCATTTGGATAAAGCGAAATTCAATATTTGTAGTCAGACAAAAATAAACTACAGACGTAATGAATAGGGTAAGTAATAAACACACAAGGTCGTAGATAAACAATCAAGGTTATTCAGCGGACAACTGACAAGGTCAAAATGTGACTCAAGAAGAATGTTATTGTACCCAAGAGGCTCGTTAATCTAACTCCGATTTGAAAGGATGAATGGATATGCCGTGGATGGGAATCTTCAACTTTGTATATTACACCTAAACTAACCCCATTTGTGCGACAGCGGTATTAAGCCAAAGTCAAATTGAGTCGGATTATTTCTTCCGGCGCTGGTTTATTCAGACGGACAGATATTAAGAATGAGAAGTGGAAAAGAAAAGCAAAAGGGAAAGGCAAGTGTGATAACTCCATTTGACAAAGTGTGACTCAATATTTATAGCCAGAAAAATAAGCTAAAAGCATGTAATAAATAAGGTAAGAGATGCAAAGAACCACTTATATGAAAGTATGATAAGCGAATAGTTGACAAGGTGAAAATGAGACTCAAGAACTGCTCTGTCCGTAAACCAGAATAACCTATATGGCTTTCTGATATCTGGACGAAGAATAAGTAAATAGCAACCGCTAGAATCTATTTGTGAATTATTATTGTTATATTCTTATTGAATAACTACTGAGTAATTTTATTATGTGTATATTTATATTCCTTTTATCAGAAGCCTTCATTTGACTTATAGACTACTATTATACGGTTTACTGTGTGGCGCATATATATTTGGTGCTCTCTTGTACCAATATTTATGTGTTCAAATAAATAAAATACGGTTTACTATCCTTATGTTATTCCCAGTTTCTCACAGCCACATTTTGGCTTGATCCTGTATAATTGTTATTTTTTGTTTTATGACAGTCTGGTTTGCTTGTATATAAACCAAGTTTGTCTGGGAAATGTTATTCATACAGTGCAAGCTGATATTGGCATTCTGGACTCAACTGACAGGGCTATGCGAGGATCAATAAGGACTCTAGACTGCTCGTACAGGTCAACGCGTCATTGACTTGGTACAGTGCTAAGACCGCACAAGTCGTGTTCTGATTAACAAATAAGTCACGTGATAATTAACAAGGGCACAAGTCAACAGGAATAAACTGTGCGAATATATTAACCTATTATTCTCATATATATATATATATATATATATATATATATATATATATATATATATATATATATATATATATATATATATATATATATAATCTGTACCATTAGTTGAATTTGGCAAGGTTGCCTAATCCCATGATTTGCCATTAACGAAGTACATCATGACGTGATTGGTTCCATCTTACTGCGTGATGATATACAACGTATTCAAATGTTACTCAATGTATATCACTGATAAGCAAGCGTCTAAACAATAGTAGGCACTTGTATCTGTAGTAAATGCTGATGTAGATCGTCATCCATACATTGATAATAATCTTTGCCCAACTAATGTACATTGATTACAAAATTATTATTTCCGAGTAAGACCAACATCTTTCATTATATAATGCAGTGTGGTTGGAGAAGCTGGAAGTCATTTTCGAAATAAATGGGTTGAACTCAAACAGTGACTTCGGTAAAGTAGATGCAACTAACACTAAGCAGCTACCGTACTTATTATAGCTGGTATATATTAAGATCTGAAACCAATAAATCACGATAAGATGACTGTCTTGTGAACATTTTAATCGTTTGTTAAAGCCACGAAAACGATAATTGAGCGAGATTGGTGACTTTGGTTAACTATAATTGAAACAATAAGCTGCTCAAAAATGTTGTAAATCAACCTCCTAACGTTTATCCAGTAAGACTAGAACAATAAAATAATAATCGTCTATGTAGACATTAGGAGCAGACCACATTTAGCCTCACCGTCAAGCTCTATTTGTGATAATTATTTTACATTACAACCAACTTCAGGAATAACTAACAACACAAAAAAATATGAATGAACTATTATAAGAATGTAACAATTACGAAACGTACTATATTTCCACTTAACATACAACAATAATGTTTATATTTTGAGAGAAAAGGTGATAAATTACAACATAACATGCCTAATGTATTTAAACACTTAAAGAAAAAAACCAAATTGAATGAAGGGTAAGTTCATGAAGCGAAAATGTTGATTTACGGAATAAACATTTCATAAATAATTGTTTAAAAGTCCTCATCATCAGGATCATCATCGACTGCGTCATTATCAGAGTCTTCTTCATCCTCTTCTTCACTATCATCAACCATCATAACACGTTTATGTGAGCGAGCTTTCCTTGGTGGTAGGAGAGATTCTACATTTGATGTGTTGATACGTATGGATTCAACAACAGAAACTGTTCCTCTAGATTCAGTAGCAGATAACGAACGGGGATGATTATGAGATCCAGGTGGAAGATGTGTTTTTGAGATAACAGAGACGGAACTGTTTGTTGTACGAGATATACAATACGTTGGCTTACGTGACATGCGTCTCGCTTTGCTACTGAAAGAACTTCGACTGGCACTGTCATCTACCCAGTGAGAAAAAAACCCCACCAGAATCAAGTAGAAATATATGCATTGGTCATTTTATATATAAATATACAAGCGGTGATTTGTTTGAGGCAGATAACTAATCAACAGTATGCAACTAGATGGTCGGTCAGTACACATGAGACCCAGTTACTTCTTCCCATCAATAGAGAACGGAACAGCGAAATAGCTGTTTGTGTGCACTACGGATAGAATAAACAGGCTACATGGGTACCTATATGTCAGCTGATTATTTTATAGCACTTTATTTATTTTATTCATGTCAAAATCTCGTACAACAGCACTAAAAATAGAAAGTACTACGCAAAACAAAATTTGTGTGCTGGTGTAGTGGACGCTATTCAAAAGGATGCTTGTAATTAGTGTGTAGCGAAACGTGGTGTTAAAGCTTCAACAATTGTCGGGCAGAGTGAAGATTTTCAGTGCACTGAAAGCACGGCGTTGGCAGAACACACAGACAGATGCAAATGAACGAATGAAGGCTATGGATATGTATTATGGAAATACTTTGTAACTACCTGCTATAAAGACACATACATCCTATCTATTGTCGTAATTTACACTGGAATAATAACAAAGACACTAATAAGACCAGGCTGTTTTCTTAAGAGCCCAGTCCCCGAGTTGCTGCATTATGGTATCTAGTGACCAAAAGTAGGTCCATAGGCCATTCGTTCTCTCAGGGTTTCGGAGCCCAGCGGTTTAGAATCAAGGTTTTTAGATCTATTAGGTAAACTCTCTATATCGACCAACTCGATTCAAACACCAGGCGTTTACCTCTTATTCTTTCATTTTCGAAAAAACACTAGAGATACGATTGCAGTATGAGGGCCCTTCAAGGGAAACAGAAAGTAGACGCTCCCCATCCTCGGCCCTAACGGGACATAATCTGGTTTGAAAAATGAATGGAGTGTTTTTTAGTAAGTTTTCCTCGTTAAATAATCACTAAGTAAAGATCTGAGTGTTGACCTCCCAAGTACGTATGGGATACTAAAAACAATAACAAACCCTCCACTTTGTGTTTGTACTATTAGCCACCAACAATACCGCCATCTATTTATCACAACTAATAAAGCTTCCCCAATATAAACCTAGAACTATTGAGAATCTTACCATCATCCATTGGATCATCCATAGTATCTTCCTCATCATCTAAATCATCCAACCCTCCAAGACTATCCTCATTCATTGAATTATCAGGGATATTTTGCTGACCATTTCCACCTGTATTACTGGTTACATCGGTAGCTGATGTGTTACAGACAACATATCGTGGTCCTGTTGATATAGGTGCATGTTTCGACGTCTCACTTGGCTCATCTTCATCATCTTGTTCATCTTCTTCATCATCTTCATCGTCTATAGTAACATGCCTATGTTGACTAGAGTAACTGTTGTACTGACTTGATTGACGAGAATCAGATTGTTGACGTGATTCAATTTCTTCCAATCTTTCTCGAGCATTAGTCCAAACTGACTGCAATACCACTGAGTCTTCAAAGATCTTTTCGAAGAAAAATAGCATAGTTTAATCTATCTGATAACAATTATAAAACAAACATATACCGATGTTTGAAGATGAGTAAAGCATTCTACTAATTGAATACATATATGGAATTGTACTTTAGTAATAAAAGAGAAATGACTATTAAACGGTTCAGTAGGAATAATGTAGAATTTTAAAAAAATGAATAAGCTCCAATGTTAGCGGGACATAGATTGGATTAAACCATGCTCAATGCACGACTGTCTTGGTACACACTGATTGGTTAATTCTTATCCAATCAGCGCTATTCGATACTTGGAGAATGATCTAGAAATCTCATGTAAAAACTATAAATACACTGACGTTTTTCCTAATGTGCTTCTTAATTCCATCTAACCTTGTCATTTGGAATATAATCTGTTTCCTGTTCAACCGTGTTCTGATTTGGGGACTTGTCCAGTGAATTGGTGTCCGAGAATACTAAGCAGTAGGAATAGCTGGGTTGTAATAAGAGAGAATTATAACACCCAATGTAAGCAAGTTTCGCACAGGTACAAGTGGATATTAACAAGAAAACGAATACAAATTGATACCAGAATTAATAAAGAACCACAGGTAGACAGGAGTGAAATAAAACGGAAGAGATTATGCAAAATTAGTCAGTTAGCCACACGCAACGCAGAACATGGCACATGTGTTTGTCGGTTCAATTTGCATTTAGCAGGGTACAAGTCTGCTTCTCTATAACTTAACATTAAAAAAATACAATAGTTTTCAGGGTAAGGTGAAGACACTAGAAAACGCTAAGTATAACATGAAGAACAAAATTATGAACAGACACTTGATTTTCATCTACTGTACGCCCAACACTAAGGTCACATTCAAAATAAACTTTGTTCCGTAACTTAATCACACATATAACTTACCAAACTTCCATCCATATTATATGTTTGAGCATTTTTACACAAAAGTAAAATATCAGCTTCCAGTTCATCTACAGATCGGTATTTTCCATCTTTTACACGCTGTCGAATACGATTAAAATCTACAGGCTTTTTAATCACTTCATAATAGTCTGGTAATTCTTTTCTTGTAGGCAATTTCATAAACGGTTCACTAAGAATTCTTTGATCTCTAGAACAAACAACAATTCATCAAAACAATATCCGAAAACAAAACAGAAAAACGATTCTGAAGAAATCTAAGAGACAAAAGTGTCAAGTATTTAAAACGAACGGAGTTGTTACATATGAAATAAAAATATACGTTCGTATTAAGATATATGTGTATGGGCAACCGGTGAAGTAATAGACGTCTGATTAAGATATAACTAACTTGATTTCAGTTCGAACAGTTCTACCAGTATGCTAAACAGGTAACATAAGTAGAGTGAGGTAAACTGGCTGAGATCTATTCTGATGACATTATAACATAACTGACAATTTTGAGAAGACGAATATTTAAACAATTGTGTGAGTATAAATTTTAGACGCTGATTAAAGAATGATGTAAATAGATTAAAATTTACTAAATAATGCTCACAGTTATTTTGGATAAGTTACGAAAAGAGAAAAAAGTATTCAAGAAGTACAAAAACCAATAAACCATTTAAAAGTAAATTAATGAACCATAGTAATGAAGACTGAGAAGCGTCACAAAGGTACAATTTTGGGTGCTTCTGCACCTATAATCAGATGAATGCTAGAAATAATATGATGGTATTAACACTATCAGAATTATCCTAGAGGGTAGCTAACCTAGTTATCATAATGCTAATATAAACAGAATCCAGTTATAACTGAGCATGACATAACATGAAATTATTTCGAATAGACTATTCTATATAGCGTGAACCTATATAGTGTTAGTTGAGATCTGAACAGTTCTATATTACTGGTTTTGATTGTGGAGACGCATTTTGAGGATTGGAATTCACAGACGTTACTAAAGAGAAACCACATGAAAAAAAGATTCACGTCAATTTATTCTAGGTGATTGCAGGTTAGTATGTAGTTTACTTTATTTCCGTTAACTCATGGCAGAAATATGTGTTTTTTTGTTATCACAGTATTTAACCGAGTCTAGAAGAAATATAGAGTCAGTGAACTATTCCGAAAATGGTACGCATTAACAGAAGCTATAAATAATAAGCGAGACATACTTGTCTTTGTATTCTATTACAATATCTAATAAACGTTGTAGTTTTTTAGCTAACTTTGGTGAAACTGATTGATTAGATGATCTGGATGTACTCCCAGTAGAAGAACCATGAGGTGGACGTCCACGGCGACGTTTAGCAGCTTGTGGTGCAGCCATAATAACACTTCCAGTTTCTGAGCTCCCATCATCCATAAAACTAGAATCCTTGACCAAACGACCCACCCCCAAAATAAATAACAGTAAATAAATACAAGTGGTCTTTAAATTATGGACCATTAATAAAACAAAAAATAGAAATGAGCCACAATAATACGTTAGAAATAATAACTTCTGTCAGAAACGAGAATAACCGGCCTATTCTTTTAGGAACAATTGTAGTCTTGATTCATCGGTTCAAGTTGGCACATTATATCAGGACAAGATGAAGTTAGCAAGAGTAGTAGGAGTAATAACATAATCAGTGGTTATAGAGAGGATTAGGGACAGATAATGTGATTTGACATGAAGGAATGGATTTCAAAAATAAAAGGTGTAAGATGATTTAAAACTCAAGATTTAAGCGAAGACAAAGAGTGAATGCATTTAGACCATTATGACTGATTTTGAACTATGCCACCAACCAGATAGTCTGCATCTACGTAAACGGATCAAAATAATAATCAAGGATTTCATGGACCGATTTCAAGTCTTGGTGTGGCTACTGTTATTTTTCTTCAAACCTACTCCTATACCAGCCAATAACGTGCGTCCAGGTAGGCCGTTGTTAGGGAATATGTAACATATATCCTGGTCAACTCAGTTGATGAAGACCCACTTCCACACCGACCGATTCCCTGTCTTTACCTAATACGCTGCGTCGAACCTCAGTATTGCTCACTCAATGATTCTATAGTATACATTATTGATGATCAACTTAGCTAACTGTTTTGAACAACAATTTTTTTGGTTGTGATTGATAAAAAAAGCTACCACTATGGACACAGTTTTATTGTTGAATCATAGTAAAGTGGTGGCTTAGTAGTTGAATCACTCATCCTTTAACTACCGGATCGCAATCATTTTAGATTGAGCAACATAGTTTCATTAAAATTCACATAAAAAGCTTGACTAAAGGTGAGTAAATAAAACTAAATTTATTAAGTGCGCGGATAAACCAAGAGATGTTTTTACATCTTAAGTGATGAAAAAAGCTTATGAAAAACACTGAATGCTTTTTCATAAAGAACTTTCTTCACTAAACTATTTATACAGTCGATAGTGTGCACAAATATGAACGTAAACTGGTGATCTAATATTAACTATTTATTTATATTTATGAATTATGACTTTAAACAACTAGAAGTGAAAATTCGGAAGTCAAACATGTGGTTCTGAGATGTTAACAATGTAGCGAGTAATAATATGGTGTCTGACTGACTTTTTTTCAAAAATCATATAAATCAGTGTTTTTATAAATGATCACACAACTTAATAACAATTTCAGTAGCCCGCTAAAACATATCTCAGAGATTCACTAAGCAGATAGAGTAGTGTTTAGTACACTTAAAAACCGATCTGTTATGCAATATTGAGACAAATATAAATTACATTAAATGAACATACATCTAATCGCTTGCGTTTTTTTCGTGCTGCTCGTTTTTGACGCTGACGTTCTTCAGCTTCTTCTAAGCTACCCTCATCGATTGCTTTAAGAAACTGACGCTCAGTGAGTGCATCTGAATAATCCACTTCTTTACGCTGACGTTTCATTCCAAAAACATTATCCTCTAATGAAAGACTTCGTTCAAGCTTTTATATTGAAAATAAATGATCAAATAATATGTATTAATATAGGACTATGAGGGTCTTTATCAGTAATTTGCTGACTTCAAGCAGTTATAGTGTGTTATATCATAAACTAATCATAATATCTGTATAGAAAAAAATTATATATATACCAATCAAATCCTTAACGGATAAATACATGTAAACATGAGATGGTATAATTTATTCAGTTGTTAAATTAATGAAAGCTTCCAACAATCGACTTGCATTATCTACAGAAATACAATACGAGATAATTCTACAGAAACTAGATCCTGATTAAATGATGTCATGTGATTTTGTAGTCTACTCAAGTTTTTTTTTAGTAAACTGCCTTATTAAAACACATACCCAAGGAAAATGGATAGGTGTTTTAAACACAATCTAATTCTTAATGTGTTCATTCCACACTTATTGCAAACATTTATGATTCAAACGTACAATCGGAATGTCTGTATTTATTCATGGCACTTTACCTATTCAGTGATCTTAGTTACACGCTAATTTTTGAAGAAAGTGGAATCAAAAAATGTAAAATTCATATTTTATTTATTGTTTATAAATCAAATTAAGATGTGAAGTTGTAACAATCAACTGTATATGGATAGGTAACGACCACTATTACAAATGACATTAACCGATAAAAATTTAAACAGTGATTCCGTTATCAACTATTTCACTTACAAGTAGGGAGTGAAAGCTAATTTAAAGGTGTTGTTTTACAATTTCCTGAGTATTTTACATTTCAATTTATTACGACGACAAATAACAAATAATAATACTGACTAGTGTGATCGGCAAGAATCTTCGCATAAACAATAAAAGTAATCATTAACTTAGTGATTCACTATTATTTACCTCGATGTCATCTCGAACAATCCACTTTGGCAATTCCGAAAACTCCATTAGACGTGGTTCCCGTTTGGCCTGTTGACTTTCAGCAAATTGGCGTTCGGCATCTAACCTTTGGTAGATTTCAAATTCTTCTTCATTTCGGGCTAACATCTGATTAATAGTTTCATCATCAGGTGCTTCATCTTCTTCTTCATCGGCTTCTTCATCTTGTTCAAGTAACGCTTGTAAAAACTGACGTCGTTCGGTACCAGTAGACTTTTGATCAAACATACCGGCCTGGATAACTTTTTGATCCACGTCCAATTTGAAACGCGCTGCTGCTAAGATTTTTTCTTCAACTGAATTTATTGAGATTAAACGCAGAACTCGAACCTAACATAGAAACATGGTCGCATATATGAATTAATAAGTTTAATTCTTTATGGAGTAAAGTGATCTTATACACGTAAATTATTCACTTTAATTCATCTGCAGGGACAAATCACAAAGTCGTACTATTCAAATCTCTCCGAATAAAACCATGGGTATTCAAAGAGAATTGCAACTACAAATTATTTTAAAATAGACACGAACTTATTTCAGCTACTTTTAAAATGGAAAAATGTTACACGTAAACTCATAACTAGTTAATTTAGTTTTTCAGCAATTGAATACGGTGGTAAAACTGGCAGTTAGTGCAAAAAACATAGCTCTCTTGCCTCTTCTATGTAAGATAGCAGTTTCAATGGAAACAATTATGGATTCTTGTATTAGGATTACGCATACTGTATGCAAAATAGGATACTAACCAAACTAGAATATACAAGTTGGGAATTATGGATACATCCTATCTATCAAAAATAACGTTAAAACAGTTAATCGAATTTCCACCATTATGTACAAATGTAATAAATACTTTGTCGTACCTTGTCATCTACTTCGGTCTGAACAACAGACAACCTATCTACAGTAAGTCATCTGCCAAAGAATAAGTGGTAAAGTTCATATATGTCAAGGTTTTCTAATCCCAAAGACAATGAAAAGTCATCGACAAAAATATACTGGGAATTGCATACCTCGTTTTGTTGACCAATACGATGAGCACGATCCTGTGCTTGTAAATCTTGATGAGGATTCCAATCTGAATCAAATATAATCACTGTATCCGCAGCTTGGAGATTAAGACCTAGCCCGCCAGCACGAGTTGAAAGTAAGAAAATAAATATATCCTCGGAAGTATCATTAAATTTCACTAGTAATTCTCCACGATCTTCTGAACGAGTAGTTCCATCAAGACGTAGATAACGAAAATTTCGGTAATCAAAGTAGTCCTGAAGAGATAAAAATTATATTTCGTGCGAACCAAATGAAAAATGTAACGAGTTAAAACAATTAAGAATTCAGAGAGCAATGATTAACCTCTTTATCTTAGTTTAAGATTCTTTTTGAACTGCCTATTCTCGATAATATTCCGGATGAGACTAAAGAATTTAGGTTTAGCAGTGAGTATGCCACTAATTATTCAATTAACCAGTGCTTTCAGTTTTAGAAAACGTGGCCAAAAATTGCGCAAGTTGAGTTTTATTACGTTGCCGTTTTAGGATTTTTCAAACGTATGAAGACTAAGTTTTGGTCAAGTGAAATTTACTTCCAGTTTCAGTAAAATTACCCAAGTAATTTCGGTTAAGGTCATAATTCGTATTTGTCCAGTTTTCATTTATTATCGTCTATTTGTAGCATACAGAATGTTTTGACCTAGATTAAATTTGGTTTGAGAGTCATTTCTGAGATGGTGGAGAAGATTTGTAGCTCAGGTGGATGATTTTGATAGAGTTTTGTTCTCTGAGCTGGATGGTTTGGTTGTAGAGCTTTCAGATAGAAGTCTATCTGAAGTTTGTGCTGATGACGTCGTTCTGAAGAACGATGAAAACTCTACGACCAAACCATCCAGCTCAGAGAACAAAACTCCATCAAAAGTTATTTTTGAATTGAGCTGCAGTTTTTCTTATCGATTTGTGAAACGAATGGTGAACTTATTCAACTTAAAGTGATTTTCAACATAGAATGCAGAATTTCACGTTCGATTTTTTTACAAAGATAAATAACTCAAACATTATTTAAGATAACTTGTGATTTCAGTATATTACCATCTTATGAGCTGGTAATGATGTTGAAGGGAATTGATACTAGTTAATGAAAACAATCAGCAAATTAAATTTATTTCACTAACCTGCTTATATCATTTTCAGACGAACAGCTATATGAGTAGATGTTATGTATACACCCCAAATAATATGAGATTACAGTAACAAACTCGCATATATGTTCATGATTACAACAATAAACAACTGATCATTCAGAAAAATACTTCGTAAACTGACCTGCATAATTGTCATTAAACTTGTCATTTGACAAAATATTAACACACGATGTCCACAACATTTTAATTTGGGCAGAATTCTATCCAGTAACTCAAATTTTCCAGAAGAACGATATAATATTTTACCTTCAACTTGTGTTGGTACTGGTAAAGTTGGTGGGGGGTTACCATTGTGTACATTTAGGAAGTTTTGTTCAGCTATAGCCATTTCGATGTGTGGAAACATAAATGGATGGTTGCAAATCTTTCTAAGCTGCATAATTGTATTCATTAAAGTTCGACAACCACCTTTACCCTAAATATAATGAAACAATGAAAAATAGCAGTCAATAATACAACAACTAGGGAGTTATCGTTGTTTTAATCTTACAGTTACTTTTTATTCAATAACTCACTCAAAAAATAAGTATTTCTTTCTAATAAAAATCGTTTTTATAAAGGTAAAACAACCATTAAAAAATAAGAAAACACTAGATCAACATTATTCTTACAATGGAAAGCTTAAAAATGAAAAAGTTAGATTAAATGTCAGTAAAAATGAAGTCTATGGACGAAAACGAGTCTAGGTGAATCAACAATTCACGGACGCGCATGACAGCTAATGACAAGGATATACGAACAGCATATAACAAATCTCAAGATAAAGCTTTAGCCAAATATTTGTATGATTGAATTATAAAGAGGAAGTCAAGACAAAATAGGAATTGAGATGAGTAATAATAATGTTCGGTAAAAAGACACCTTTTTTTCGTTTTAATTATTGACTTATTAGAGCCACACATATGTGACTGAACCTCGGTTACGTGTACCGCACCTGAAACATGCTCGTACTGTTGGTCATGATATGTGGTTTGTCAGAATATTCATAGAACAAAACTTTAGTATCTGCGTATTCCAAGTCAACAAACGAATCTCCTGATGAGATGACAAACTTGAAAAGTCAGATGATGAGAATGTTACCACTAAGAGAATTTCCACGGCAATGTTAAATGAAATTGGAGGGAGTGGACAGCCCTGGCAAACACCACTTGATGTGGACGATTTTGATAACAGCTAGCTATAACCTTTGACTCGACCGGCAGTGTTCGAGTAGAGCTTGTACAGAGTTAATGCAATTCTTCGGTAAGCCTTCCAATGACAGATGCCGCCGTGAATGACCACATTTGGATCCTATATGGGTGTTCCGGAGACACAATATAAATCGAAGGCAAAGGATTCTCGAGTTTTAATTAAGGAAACCTGTTGTCCTATCTGACAAGGTTTAATCATTGAAGAACGCAACATGTAGCACAGAGAGCGATTTCAATTGCACAGGAATAAAATTTCGCGAACTCGAATCATTAGCATTGATGGAGCATGATAATTAAGTCACATGGAAAGGGTCAACCGTGGAAACCGGGGAAGTATTAGGAAGTGACGGGGAGTTTGATAGTGAACAAAAAGATCTTGGTTGCTGTTAAGACTATGAGAGCTATTGTCACGTTTAGGCTGCCCACAACATGGAGAGAAACTTCTGAAAATAAAACTGGAATAGTAGTGGTTTTAGCGATCAGGGAGTGTGATCAGAGAGTCAAAAACACAATCAGTTGAGGTCAGTCACAGAGTCTTTACGTGGCAAGTTTTTCATGTGTTTGATCCAGACCTTACTGCTGGAAACGGAGATAAGTGTGGTGAGGTGAAGTGTGACATACTTAGAACCAACCTTTATTAATACATTCCTTCTGTTGATAGGATGCAGTATCGCTGCAGATGCTTGCAGTACAACTTCGATCCCGAACCTTAGGTTGATGCTTTTAGTCTTATCGTTATACAACTAACCTTTCTGGCATAGTACGACCGAAAAGAACACATGTTCTAGCCAATATTGATCAATTTTACTATTGCTAAAGACAAGATAGACCAATACATTAGGGTAGCAGCTGCGAGTATGCAGTCGCTTCCTATATTACTTGATATACAAGTTTACACAGTTGAGTCAACTTACTGGAGGTCATTTTCTAAACGAATATAGCTTCTGTTAAGGAAAAAACATTATTCTGTAATATTGATGTCTATTTCTCTCTTGATACCGATCAAGTGTTTTTTCCTAAAACTATAAGAAAATTATCTTTTCCAACTAATTCACAGAGCAGTTAGGTATTATTCAAATTAGCAATCTCAAGTTTTGCAAAATTGTTGTAAGAGCAAACAGAAGTATTGCATCAAAAGGCGATAATCCTGACCAAAATTCAGTTTTTGTAGAGACTATAGTTTGTAAGTCATTTTTTATATGAACATATAATTATTGATACAAAGGGGCACCGAATAATACACATGCACCACACAAGTTACTTGATTTGTGTGTGGGCTATGATACTGTCCGAGTGCCCAAACAGAAGTAGATAGTTTTCTTAGAGGGCCACACCCCGAGCCTTCGACTTAAAGGTCTGATCCACAAGGCAGTGGAATAACGTTGGGAGATGGAGTTCCATGGTAGCCGGTGATCAACGACTGGTACATACGCCATTTGCTCCTTCAGGATCCTGGAGCCTATGTGCATCATCTGTTTGGAATCAGGGTTTTCCCACTCCCCTAGGTGGATCCTCCATATCCACCAACCCAGTTAAAGCGCCGGACATTCACTTTCCGTCCTATCGATTTCTTATACAACTACCTCGCCCCGAGAAGGCACTGAGTAGGACTTGTGAGAGTATTTCTAGAGGAAGAGCTGACTCTCCTTACCCTCGGCCGTACCAGGGCATTCGGGGAGTTAAAACTTTACACTCAGCTATATACGCAGGACATTTAGTGATTAATAGTGCGATTCAACATTTTTCTGATTCAATTATAATATTAACTGTGCGGAAATGTTATTCTTACCTTTTTATCTTTTTCTGATCCATCAGTCAAAATTACACCTTTAGATTGCATATGTGAATAAAGAACCCTTTGTAAATCTGACATTTCACATTTAATCACATATTCAACTTTTTCTGGTAATTGCGATTCTACTTCACGTTTGAGACGACGTAATAAGAATGGTCGTAATACTTTGTGTAATCGACGAATAATAAGCAGGGTTTCTTCCTGGTTCAATTCGACCTTTAATAAATAAAAAAGTGAGACCAGTGTTTATTGATACTACGATTACGGTTTAATACAGAAAGCATGATATAACTGCCTTCTGCTTGTATTTACATACATGGTTTACTAAATAAAGGCTTTCACTGACAGGAGGTTAAAACAACGTCATGTATAGCACACACGATATCTGGTTTTTCAACATTCCCACTTTTATTGTATTTAGTTTATTTTAAGGAAGACAGGTCAAATGATGTCATACTACGATTATTAGATGATCGAAATAGATCGTTGATTGCACGCTTAAATATATGAGTTTGATAATTTTAAAAAATAGAGAACCAAAGGATATTTTCCTTTAGCTAAGTTGTCGCTCATTTTTTGAACAAACTGAACATAATTCAGACATAATAATTGTATACTAAGAGAACTGATTATAAATAAGTACGGTCAACATTTTTGTGGGAAGAAATTAGTAGAACTGTCATTATGATAATAAAATTGCTTTGACGAATAAAAAGCGGATTATCGCTATTTATTCCATGGTCGTTTATGATTTAAGTATTAACAATTACAAGCGTCAGTCAGTCATCTAAAAGGTAGGACCAACAATATATAAACATCACTTCAACCTGCAATATCTCATTAGCAAAATAAGATGATCACCGAGATCATAGAAACAGTTACTTCAGAGATAAAAGGAAAAAGACTTAAAAAGAGGATAAGATATACGAACAAAGAACTACTTCGTAGTAAGAAAGGTATTAAGAAAATTCATTATCACGATTTAATGGAAGACAAAGAGTGTATACACCTACGCCATCGTGATCGATTCTGAGCCATGTCACAAAGAATCTCCAACCATTGGTTACAATAGTCACGCGGACCCCAACCAAGTAGTTTGCATCTACCAACATGGCTCACACTAGAAGTTAGTGACTTCAAGCACTGATGCCACATTTTGGTTTGGCTGCCCCTAACTTTCTTCCAACCACCCCCAACAATAGTCAGCATTGCGCATCGTCGTAATCGGTGTTCAGGCATACGTAACACGTGGCTCAACCATCTCAGTCAACGAAAATTCACTTCATCAACTAATTTACCATCATTCCCTAATACCCTGCGTCTAACCTCACTATTACTTACCCGGCGATCCCAACAGACGCCAGCAATATTTCTAAGGCATCTATGGTCAAATACTAGTAGCTTACAAGTGTCTTCTACTCTCAATGGTCATGTTTCGCTGCCGTAAATTAAAACAGAACGGACTGTCGCGCAGTATACTCGTCCTTTTAATGATAGACGGATATCTCGCATTCGCCATAGGTGACGTAAGTTAGCAAAAGCCAAGCAAGCTTTTCGAATTCGTACTGAGATTTCGTCAGACACCAACCCATTAGGGCTGATCAGACTTCCAAGATAAGTGAAGTTGTCGACGCGTTCGACTACTTCACTCCCTATCCTTAGTTCAGGTGTTGACGCAGGCCAGTCTTGAAGCAACGATTTGCATTTAGAGGGAGAGAAGCGCCTTTCTGTTTGGTTTAAGCTACCTACTTGGGTATTAAAGTCACCTCCTACGAGTACTATGTCTGAACGTTTAGCTTTCTGTAAAATTCATCTCTCACTTCATCCGAGCTGCAGTCAGTGGGAGCGTAGGCAGAAACGACAAAAAGGCAACGACGTGTGTCTCGACCTTTCCGAATTCTTACAGAGCCTATTAGCCGAACAGCAAATAGACGACTGTTGACGGGGATCCACTCTAATAGTGCTTGTTCCACGAGAACTAGCCATCGGATCGCCAGATACACGGAGGGTGTAGCTCGTCGGCTCTCTGTTTTGGCGAGGTGAGATCAAGTGAATAACCACACTAGGATCCTGTATGCGTGTTTTCAAGACACAGCATATATCGATGACACGAGATTCTAGGATTTTAGCCAAGGAGGCCTGTTGACCGAGTTGACATAGGGTGAGTACGTTGAAGGCTCCAATGTGTAGTTTGTAGCGAGGTCCCAGTATACCTAGGACAGCATTTCGCGATCTAGAGTCGTCGGTCATGGTTACACTTGAGGATGTTTAGAGTTAATAGTCGAGGTAGAAGATATAGTAGGGATCGAAGAGGGGAAGTTTATTATGAATTAGTGGTCTCAAATGCTGTTAGAGTTGTAGGGGCGGCTATCACTACCCAGTTACGCACAACGTGAAAGGGTTCTTCTTGAGATACATGAAAAGGACATAGGGACGGAATGGGTCTTCGTGTTAGCTCCGTAGTTGTTAAGACCTTACCGCTGGAGACGGAAATCCATGGGATAAGGCGAGGTGTCGTAATAAGAGAAATTATAACAATACGCCAAGAAGTGATGTCTGATATTTAATATTCACCAATAATGAAAGCAATATTATTTAGCAAGTAGAAAGCAGTACATCTCAGAACTGCTGAGTATACATTAAATTCCGAAAATACAAACACAATACTTCTTACAAACAAACAAAAATTCGACATGACTATACGCATACTTTTTCTCCGGTTGCTGCGAAAGGAGCATTAAACCACTGTTCAAATGTATTGACACTTTCAAAAATTGTTGGCAACAAGAAATTCAGTAGAGCCCATAATTCAGGTAATTTATTTTGCAGCGGTGTACCAGTAAGTAGAAGTCGATATGGTGCAGTATAATATGTGTTTAATACTTGAGTCAATTTACAATGGTGATTTTTCATTCTATGGCCTTCATCAATTATCATGTATTTCCACTTCACCTGTTCAATAATTAAATGAAAAGAAATGCATGAAAGTAGCTAATACATTACAAACAATGTTTTTGAAAGAAAATAATTATTCATTCTCACTAAAATAAAAACTGGTAGGTAATAAAATGGAACCACCTACATGAAAACAAAAGTATACAATCCTCAGAAACGATATGAGAATTTTATATAAATTTGAAAAAATGATAAGTCCCACATTCTTGGTGACCACTTTTATATGACAATTATATACAAACTAAAAGATGATCGATACGTTGAAATCTCAAATAAGTATCAAATCTGACTAGTAACACACATCATTCGAGAGACTATGTAATAGCTTATTTAAACGATCCATAAAGAAGAGGTACGACCAATAAAATTGACCATGGTTATAAGGTAAGCACCAAAGCATGCTTCAATAAACAAAAACAGTTCTACTTAATGGACAAACTATAAAGTTAGATTTCCTAATATTGTGAGATTGTACTTTCGCTTAAAAAACATGTTCCATAGACATTAAACAGGAATAATTTATTTGTAAAATCTCAGCGAATGAATATGAAGTAAATCCAACGTTTCGCCTGTCAATCTAGTCCAAGCTTTTTCAAGGAAATATAATTAAACATCAAAATTATCGAATATAAATAGGTACATGGTTCTCCGGTTTACTGTATACTGAATAAGTCATTCAATCAACGTTAAGAATGTCTAAAGTAGGTATTTACATTAGTGTGTACGAGACATGTTGTGTGAAAACGAAATGTGTTGTGATAACAGATTATGTGTATATGTAGGTGAGAAGAAATTTCATCCACTATATGTTGTCTTCGGTCGGTGAATATTAAGAAAACATAATTTTTTATATACGATATGAATAAAAAATGTCACAGCATGGATTAAATGAAGATAAATAAACACGGTAGAGGACTGAATTCAAAGAGGAAGAATTTGTAATTGAAAGTTTGTGTTGTTTTAATGTTCCAGTCAATTGTTTAACATATTTAGATAAGATAACTGATTTGAATCGTTGAAAGTAACATCTGTTAATTAGTTCAATACGATATAGAATGGAATAAGGAGTTCAGGTTTACTTAACAATTATTAGTTGCCATGGGTCAGCTAGTTGTATTCCATCTCTCCTATCAATACTGTTTGGATTAGCACATATATGTAGGGCCTTTCTTTGTAAGAATTAAAGCCTTTTTGAAGGATTCTTGTGCCGTTGAAAATCAATTGTATGACCCGATTCTATCGAGTGTAATGCTATCTCCGATTTGTCCTCTTTTTTTTTTTACCTCAACTGAAGATTTAGGGATGTGCTTTAAACATAGTTTATGTTCCTTCACCCTCACATTCAGTTACCTTGATGCTCCACCTACATACGTTGCTTTACAGTCACTACATTTGATTTCATAAACACAATCCTGTTGTACTTCCTTGTGTATTGGATCTCTGATTCTTACTAGTTAGAATCCTTCTGAAATACGTTTACAATATGGGATCACCACTGTGTTAATTCACTCGTTTGCTTAACTCTTTTTTTAATAATATCGTTTTGTTCTTCATTCTTAATTATTCTTTTAATTAAATTTTTCGGATAATTACTCATCAACAGAGAGGATATGATTGAATTCATTTCCATTTCTATATCATTTGGTTCAGTGACAAGCTTTTTAAATCTGGTGATCAAATTTTTGGCTACTGTCACTTCGGTAGAGTGTGGATGCGTTGACTAAAAATCAAGAAATATTGCTGAATATGTGGGCTTTCGGAAAATACAAATTTCTAAACAATATCCTGAACGCAAATGACCTTTTCTAGACTGTTTAGTTGAAACGAAACATTAGCGAAGCAAAATGAACACCGGAGTCAAAGAAGTAGTTCTTTCATTGGTGGTAATATATAAAAGAAAGGTTGCATATAAGGATATAGTACAGGAAGAAACAATTATTACGTAACATGATATGAAACGATTTTAAACTCAAAGATTAATGGAAAACAAAGAGTGTATACACCTACGCCATCGTGATCGATTCTGAGCCATGTCACAAAGAATCTCCAACCATTGGTTACAATAGTCACGCGGACCCCAACCAAGTAGTTTGCATCTACCAACATGGCTCACACTAGAAGTTAGTGACTTCAAGCACTGATGCCACATTTTAGTTTGGCTGCCCCTAACTTTCTTCCAACCACCCCCAACAATAGTCAGCATTGCGCATCGTCGTAATCGGTGTTCAGGCATACGTAACACGTGGCTCAACCATCTCAGTCAACGAAAATTCACTTCATCAACTAATTTACCATCATTCCCTAATACCCTGCGTCTAACCTCACTATTACTTACCCGGCGATCCCAACAGACGCCAGCAATATTTCTAAGGCATCTATGGTCAAATACTAGTAGCTTACAAGTGTCTTCTACTCTCAATGGTCATGTTTCGCTGCCGTAAATTAAAACAGAACGGACTGTCGCGCAGTATACTCGTCCTTTTAATGATAGACGGATATCTCGCATTCGCCATAGGTGACGTAAGTTAGCAAAAGCCAAGCAAGCTTTTCGAATTCGTACTGAGATTTCGTCAGACACCAACCCATTAGGGCTGATCAGACTTCCAAGATAAGTGAAGTTGTCGACGCGTTCGACTACTTCACTCCCTATCCTTAGTTCAGGTGTTGACGCAGGCCAGTCTTGAAGCAACGATTTGCATTTAGAGGGAGAGAAGCGCCTTTCTGTTTGGTTTAAGCTACCTACTTGGGTATTAAAGTCACCTCCTACGAGTACTATGTCTGAACGTTTAGCTTTCTGTAAAATTCATCTCTCACTTCATCCGAGCTGCAGTCAGTGGGAGCGTAGGCAGAAACGACAAAAAGGCAACGACGTGTGTCTCGACCTTTCCGAATTCTTACAGAGCCTATTAGCCGAACAGCAAATAGACGACTGTTGACGGGGATCCACTCTAATAGTGCTTGTTCCACGAGAACTAGCCATCGGATCGCCAGATACACGGAGGGTGTAGCTCGTCGGCTCTCTGTTTTGGCGAGGTGAGATCAAGTGAATAACCACACTAGGATCCTGTATGCGTGTTTTCAAGACACAGCATATATCGATGACACGAGATTCTAGGATTTTAGCCAAGGAGGCCTGTTGACCGAGTTGACATAGGGTGAGTACGTTGAAGGCTCCAATGTGTAGTTTGTAGCGAGGTCCCAGTATACCTAGGACAGCATTTCGCGATCTAGAGTCGTCGGTCATGGTGACACTTGAGGTGGAAGCCAGAAGACAAAGTTTGTATTTGAAAGTCGATGTAGGGGGAATAATAGGAATTGAAGAGCGAGGTTGATTATGAACACAGTGGTCTTAAAGTTGTGAGGTGGTTTGTCACTTCCCGGTTTCCCGCAGCGTGGAAGGATTCTTCTGGAGGTACCTGAAAAGGGAATTATATCAGAGGTGGTTTTAGTGACCTGAGAGTGTGATAGCAGTGCCCAAGGGCCAGCTGCCTGTGGTCGGTCACACGACCTTTTATGAGTAATTTTCGTGTTAGCTCCGTACTTGATGAGACCTTACCGCAGGAGACGAAAATCCGTGGAATAAGGCGAGATGAGTAATTTTAGGGTTGATTTCTTCTAACCAGACCCTTGTTTGTGGAAAGGCAGCATCGATGTTATGCTGGTTGTCTGAAGGAAACACCTTACTGCTCTCACACCTATGTACAGTCAGTAGTTCGACTTCGCCTTCTAATCTTGGGTTTACTGCTTTTAGTCTTACTGTTATCAAACCGGTCTGCCTGGCATGGTAGGACCTCGAAAAACGATTGTTCCAGCCAGTATAGCTCGGTCGATTTATCACGAAAGGCAAGCCCGACCACCAAGTCAAGATAGCAACATCGGTCGGGTTATGCAGAAATAAATAAGATCTATCTCATTACTGTACCTCACTCAACGATATTGTTAATCGTCAATATTTTTGAAATACCAGCTACTATAAACAATCCGGAACTGATAAAATTTTCATTTAGTTGTAGCTAATCAAAGGTGGAAAACAAATCCTTAATATAAGGATTTTCAAATCCGCCAATACCGTAGATACCCAGTTAGTGTGCATAATCATATTCAGCAAACCATTAGATATAGGGTAATTACTATACACTGTACGGTGATCACGTCTATCACGATATCAGAAGATAATGAATGTAAAGGATGTAAAAACGAAGAATATAGAATGAAGATAAATGACCGAGTAAAAATAGCCGAACTCAGTTAAAACGAATGATAGGACTTGGACTACGACACGTTATATAGAGAAACGAAACAACTTTAATACGCACCCATTAATTATATCTACCGTCATCTTACAAACAATAATAAAATAATCTTACGGTAGTGTTTGCAGTCAGTTTAACGGTATACATGTATTTACATACACTCCAGACCAGGATGTTCTTTCACTTGGAAAAATCTATTGCTAATTAAAACTTTCTCGAGTTCCATCATAAGCTTAGCAGAGATTTTATTATTGTTTTTTATGATGCATAGCTCGATTGTGGTTACAAAATCGATTGAGTAATACGTGAATTAGGTTTAAAGAATCTATGGAGAACAGTAAGCCAGCTAATGAAATTGTAAACCTACATTGATTGATGTGTTTAAGTCGTATGTAACACGTGCTAAACTACCGATCATCCAGATGTAATATAAGTATGATGGTATTATTTTAAGAGAGATTGTATGAAGACATAGTATTGCACCATGAGGAAAATGAATAACTGTGAGATATAAATGGGACTGTTTACTCTTTATATATGATAACGTAAAGTAGTGAAGCCCGGAGTAAGAATGTTCAAAACTAATTACAATAATGCAAATAAATCCATCCATTAGATTTATCGTAAATCTTGAATACTTTATTATACAATATCCACTTGCTTTTCGTTTTTGCCATGTACCAAAACTGTCAGTTCCTGTACTGTTCGATAAATATAACTACCCACAAACATATATTTATAAAAACTGAAAACTAATGGAATCATAAACGTACTTTAGAAAGAGCTGATTTATCTTTAATAATATATTCGTAGGTTGTTAACAGTACATTGATTTTTGATGCTTTTATTTGTGTTTGAAGAAGTCGACGAGCTTGAGGTGAACCTTTATATAATATCTTTTTCACACTTGGTCCCCATCGATCGAACTCCATTGCCCAATTAGACATGACTCTAAAATCGCAAAATCAATAAAGATCAAAAGACATTTAAAGTGAATGTACCAAAAATAGATAGTTGCCAACAATTGTGTTATCTATGGAATATATAAATCCTAATAAAACTACAAACACAAGTTGGATAACACATGGTTTATTTTAACCACTTAGAAAGCAGAAATGGTTGAGTTAAGAAACAGAATGACAGAAACTGAGAGAACGGTAAATAAAAATAAGTAAAATTTCTGTTAAAATACGGAGCAGATTTACGTAAATAGTTTGGAAGGACAAAACAAAAAACACATCTTTTACAGGATCGCGAACCCTCACTAAATTTTGCCAAGTGAACCGCAAGGACCGACAAAAACAGATATTCTGAGTTTTAATTGATTGTAAAACATTTGATCCAAAGTACAATAAGTTGTGAGAATATATAAGCAGAACAGAATAAGCAGTTTCTTATATGTTTAATGACAAATATTAAAATAGTTTCAATACAATATGTAGATACAAGAGGATAAACAATTACCACAGAAAAATAAGATAATGAATGCAACGTAAACCTTAACTTACGAAAGAGGTACAATAATCAAGAACGGTCCATTAACGCGTTTCCTTTCCATTAGGTACGTAATCAAAGCGATTGTCTGAATCGTTTTGCCCAGACCCATCTCGTCAGCAAGTATGCCATTAAGGTTATTGTTATATAATGAAACAAGCCACTCGAGACCCCTCAATTGATATTCTTTTAATCGACCATGGACAAGAATACTAGCTTGTTCTTTAACTTCTTCTCGTACAGCATGAGCAAGAGTATAATAGGATTGAGGTGCATTTGCACCAGATTCACCACGTTTATTATATTCATCATCTTCCGTCCCGACATGTACCATACTATTATCATCATCATCATCATCGTCATCAAATTTACGTTTACGCTTGAACTCTTCGTCTGGTTCCAATAAGTCATGTATTACTGACCCATCAGTATCAGTTGGAAGAATCTGTTAGGCAAATAATTCACAGAAAAATCTCAACTACATAAAAATTACTTTTCTTTGGATGAAATCTAACAAGAACGTATCCACAAGATTGTATAGTGAGAAATAAAAAACCCAGAATTAGAATAGATTTAAAATACTAACCAATGAGAAGAAGTTCATGATAACAGCACTTACAACAGCCTTCATTTGTGGATTATCTTTCGAGGCTTCGACTAGGCAGAAAAGCAGAGAGATAGTTTATTACATGGTGGTACGGCAACTAGAACTGATGTACGTACGTACGAAGTTCTACGTTGTTACTGACTGACTGACGGTGACGAGTCATGAAAGTTGTATATTGATGGTATCCATCAGGCTATTAAGATTCCTAGACATTCCGTAAATCAGTTGCGTAATTCATTAACAGACATGACAACGAAGTTAACAGCGATCCACTTGTAACTTCGTTTTAGACTTTATGAAAGAGATGATTTTTCCTTAATTGAAAGTTTTACTTGGTTGCATTTTAACTGCGTTGTATCTACTCTAAACTTACTCTTTATCAACTGTAATCTATTGTCCTTCATTTCTTCACGTTGTTGCTTTGCTTTGTGGAGCATATTAATTTTGGTGCTAGGTTGAACGAAATCTTACGTGGATTGCGAAATCAATAAAAATAAAATATAAGTGTTCTGAAATTCAGGTCAATGACTTTTGAGTGGTTGCAATCTTTAGTGTTCTCTTTAAAAAAGTATAAGATGAGACTAGTACTGGCCAATTATATAGTAAAACGTAGACATTATGATATATTCAGACGTAGTAATTTTTGGAATTCCAAGTTTAATTTTACTGTAACTGACTAAATATTAATTAATTTGTCTGGAATTCAGTCACATTTTAAACCTATCTATTGTTAGAAAATTAGATGCTTCAATTACCAAGTCAATGATTCATGCGGGTTAAAAACGGGAGGCGGAATGTCATAAAAATCTGAAAGTACTCGACAGAGACGAAATTTTGTCTTCTCTTTAATACTAAGGATTTGTTACAATGCCATACGCCTCTGCCAAGTGTTCTGCTTCCAATCAAATGAGCGTAAATTATACGTTTTCCTTCTGTAAATTAAGGGATGTAAGTACTCTTATATCATTAAAACCTCTTCAGTTGTATCAATACAATTAACTGATTGTAGTATTTAGCTTCACACAAAGTATACACGGATACGATCCTGATACGAGAGCCTAGATATAACTCATGATTTGGATTTACTTAAAATTCTTTCCTTCATTTTTTCAGCGTGTCATGACGAGTAACCAATAAGTATCAAGAACCAAATTAATACCAAAAAACAAAAGGGATACCAGCCTACCTCCCAGCCCTGGTGTTCTTGCAGCCAAGTGCAAACTTCTGAGGCTAAAGGAGCAGAATCACCTTCAACAATTTCTTTTGTTGTTGTTTGATACATAGGTATACGCACGTCAGGTAACTGGATGTTAGATGACGACATTTTGCCACATAACCAGTCACGATTTACTTGATTAAGTTCTTCAGGAAATTTCTCAGTAGATGGAAGAGTAGAAAAATAGGCCGGGGGTTGTCCACCGTTTTTAATGACATCATCAGCCAATTTTCGATAGAATACAACAGCATTTTGCAGAGCTGATTCCTGTGCGAATTTTCTTCTTTCCGACCGTTCCCTAAAACGCTGCTTACTTTGCTCTCGTTTATGTTCACGAACAAGTTTAGTCAAATTACTAATAAATTCATCTGTTTGTGTGAGTAAGTGATGAAGTCTCTGGTCTTTTTTTGCATCAATAAGACAGCGATAACCTTCCTCATCTTCAGCCATAAGACGTCGCATACGCTCACGATCAATTCGTTCTTGTTCTTTTCTTTTGTCACGCTCAGCATTGGCTTTGTAATTTAGAACGGCTTTGTTTATTTTCACCATTCTGCTGTTAACATTACGATGAAACTCTCGGAAATCTTTTCCGTGGCTAAGAACAGCATTCAGAAATTCTTGATGTTTTTGACGACGCCTTTTTTCTTGCTCATGTTTCATTTGTTTCTCCAACTTTTCCGTGAACCGAGCCTCTCGAAGAGTTTGTTTTTTCGGCCTTCTGTACGCCTTGACATTGAGAGCTGTCTCAAGGCTTGTGTCTCGGCGCATAGCTGACACTATGTCTTGCCTTAGCTGTCGCTGAAAATTTAGTAGACGCAAAGCACGAAGTTCAATCAATAATGATACTCTTTGTTCCGATGTACTAGATACAGAAAGACTACTTAGTTCTTTGATACGCTGCGCAATGCGAGACTGGATACGCTGTTCCCTCTCTTTTAGTAGCTCTACGGGATCCAAACCCTGAGGTCGTTGAATAGGAGTAAGTCTACTCCTCCCATATGTGCTAGTACCCCCAGGCAGAAAGGTTCCATTTGAAGATGAGGTTGTATATGATTGATAGCCTACTGGGGGACCTATACGTGCAGCCACTAAACTGGGTTGGATATTAGGTCTTACTCGAGATATTGCTAGGGCAGGATTCGCTGGATGGAATTCACTCTGAGCGACAGACGACTGAGGAGACCCGACAAACGGCGAATTTTGCATGGAATTTACAGAAGATTGATTCCATTGTTGTACAGGGACATTTGGTGCAGGTGGTCCACTCATAACAATAGGTGCATGACTGAGTAACTGTCTTCCTTCGGCCGCTAGTAATAATGTTTCAGGGACTGGCTGTGATTTGGAAAGTAGCTTGAAAGCATTAATCTGTGCCCGCAATTGAACCAACTGATCCTTCATAAATGGACCTTGTTGAACTGGTGCGACCGACATTCTCATTGGTCCTTCGTACATACAGAAAGTAAAAGAAAAAATTGGATAGTTTAGTGGAAAACACATTTCATGTGAATCAATAGGTATAACAACGTATGACCTCGAACTAAAAGGTTGATGAGCTTAAACTCACAAACTTCCTAAAAAGACAGAGAAAAAATAAACAAAAACGAAAATACGTTGAAATGAAAGGGAAAGAAAAGTATTGTAAAACTAAGTTACTTAGTCGTGACTTGATCATTTGCTTCTAGGGTGATATTAGTTTATCTTGCGCATTTATCATCAGACGACTGAAGTACAAATAATTTTGATATTCACTTCGAATGTCCGTAATTGTTGGTTACTGTCTTTGTACCATAAAAGAAGTATCACGAAGTCATATTTCAGGTTGGATAAAGGAATTAATAGATTTTCTAACACTTTACGACTGATGGCACACACCGTTGTTGAAGAACAGTTCACTTTTAATATAAATCTATACCCATGTTCCCGCTAGTTGTCAAGAAGTGGATCCACCACATAGAATAGGAAAAAATCACTTGGCACAACATAACATGTATGATCTATGTCAATGATTACCAAATTACGGCCTAATCAACGTTACTGATGGGAATTTATATATAACTTTTGGCTTTTGACATAGGTTAACAATATTAAAATAATGCTAACAGTTCTTCACTCTGTTCTACCGTTTCATGGTTAATGCAATCAAGTTTTTAAGTACCTCTACTGGCATCTAAAATGTTACCACCTCCAATATTTTTCTTAACGATTGTCAGCTGCTTATTAAAAGAAGCCAAATAACTTACAGATATACGACAGCTGGGGATTTATTCATCAAAGCAACAAATACGGTGTTGTTATTGTCCCTATAATGAAACAACACACTCCACCAACGACAATAAACAAGACCAGATATATTTTGAGAGAACTAGTTTTCAAAAATGACACTTAAAATCCGTTTTTCGGTTCATAAGGTATCTTATTTAGTGACTCCAAAGATCTTTCTCGAGAAACAAATTACAACCAGACATTACAAAAGAAAATCAAACAAATCACTGGGTGTACCGATTTTTCACCCGTATCTACAAGGTCCTATCATACACATAATTTGCATTCCATAAATTCATTTGATAAACTGAAAGAGTAGAAAACTCATAAGTTGGTCATTAAACCAAATTCGTGGCAGTCAAAGCCTGAAAGCCACCTGAGGGATGAAAAGCGACAAGAAAACGTCTTTCTGTAAGTTAAGGTCATAGATATGATACATAACAAAGCTGAAATCTAAAAGGTCTAAGTACAGACTGGTCAAACCAAAGACGAAAAACACCAAATTAGGCGCAATTGAGATTCAGTCGTCCAATGGCTAAAATCATTGTAACTCTACAAAATGCTAATCAATTGCAATACAGGCAGTCACTAATTCTAAAAGACCTTATACTTCACACTACCTGTACATTTTCAAATATAGTTTTTCTTGACGAAGATAGTAGACTAATATCCATATTTCAGTTCTCAACTGGAATTCATCTGTGGTTGTCTAATGTCATGCTGAAACTGAGGTCTATGAAGGCAAATGACACTTCCTTCGACAGGACGTCCCGTATTTTAGTCAACCTGTAGATAGTAATAAGTTTACTCTCTCTGATAGGTATTAGCATCTTCCACATTAATCCATGATCCTAATGACCAAGTTTAACGAGATTCGTGAGATTTTCAGATTCCTTTAATAATCTTTTTATAATTCCTCAGACGAATTCAAAAGTGATTTTTCTTTATATCTGTTATCTATAGTTTCAGGATTGGTTACAAAAGGGAAGATTTCTGCACATCATACTGGACAGGTGGTTCTTACAAATGATGAATTACACGTTGAATGATCTTTGATTTGTAAGTGTTTGAGTTAGTTATGTGGGTAAATCATCTAGATGAGCATGACTTCAATGTAGGTTTAAATCAATATTTTTCCCACAGAGACGCGTACTTAATTGATCGTAGTTGTTCGGAAGTGTCATTCTTTTGGACGAGTCGACGCATTGACCAGTTTAGATGTGGCGTCTGAAGGGAACTGTTTATAGTCAGTCTTAAAAAGATTTGAAGTACTTTACTCTAGTTGTGTCACTCTCGTCTGACAAAATTATAGGAGGCAGATGAGAAGAGTAGTCCGTCAAATACATTGTTTATCAAACAAAAGTTGTATATGGTTAATGTCATTCTCTTTCGGTCTAATCTCAGTGCACAATGCATCCATCCGTCCAATTAAAATAGAGCTATGCACTTCTAATACGACATAACACTTGAAATTATTTAGCCTAGTCTACCATTTGATAATCTTCCATCATCCGTGCTGACATGTAATTAAGTTCCCTGGTTGCTCTCAAATAACTAATGGCAACGTTTACTGATTTTTTTAATTAAGTTGAGTGATCGTACACCAAATACAGCTATCCGTACACTATCACCAGATTTCGTGGGGGGCATACTGGAGAGAAAAACTGTGGTAACATCCTTTGCTTAAAAGGGCATAAATTGTCAACCAGAAAATAACAGAGTAACAAGTGATTATCAGAAATAATGTGGATCGTAGTAGCTAACAGTAGTGGAGCCAAAGAGAACAAACTGAACGTAACCGTAAACACTGTATTTCCGGAGTCAAAACCAGCCGCAAAATCGTATTCACAGGAAATCATTACACTAGTTTTTACTTTGGACAACCTCAGGGACGAGTTTACATAATGAATGAGGAGTAGAAACACGATTATTTATATGCAATATATACCGTCAGGAACGGTGCGTGTTTTCTGTCCTGGAAAAATAGACATGGAATCTGCATTTCAGATTGGCACTTCTAACTTTTCTTATAGCACTGAGTATAAACCCAAAGTATAGAATAGTTTCACTCATGAGATCAGGACGGCTCGCCGGAAGAAGTTTCACTAATACGCAGTTTACTGTATCAACATAGTTACCTCGTGAAGACCATTGAAATAGGTCTTTAACATAAATATACCACAAGTACACATAACACCTTTATAATCGAAGTATGCCAAACCAGTCAAATCAGAAGTCAGAAATGAAGATATGTGAAGATATATTTGGAGGGCTCTTGATATCTCGAAAAGGTTTTGGTCTTAGTTGTCTAACGAATGTACGAGATGCACAGCATGGTATACCCACCTGTGATCTGGTGCAAACTTGTGACCAAGCGCCTTCAGCTAGATGTGTCCACAAAAAATAATCAGTGTTGAAAACTCACAGAACTATTTATCTTGAGTATTTATTTACTCCTACAACTCACCCTCCCACCTAGTGCGCTAGTGATGACACTAAAACGTATTCAACGAAAAGCGTAGGCACAACGAGCTTGTCGTCGTTAAACACTCTTTAGATACCTTGCTATGTTCGGTATAATCTGACTGCCTTTCCTTAATATAAGGGGCTATATGGCTCAATTTATAGCAATGAAAGTGTGTACTATGAAAATTTCTATTCGTTATGTTCGTGGTTTTTATTCTTTTCCGGTTGTCTGATAAAAAAAAGATTTGTATACACATGTACAAGTATACTCGTACGTTTGCATAGACGGAAAACGTGTGAAAAGAATAACAATCATGGGTGCGTATAGAATAAATGAAATAGCCTAAAACATTTTGGCACAATGATTTCTGGTATTGTTTGCCATTTTTGTCACGAGCAATCTGGACAGTACATCACTGTTAATTCATAGTAGCTGAGAAATGTGCTAAAGATTTTCCAGAAGGATAAATTAACTCTAAAAATTCATGTTCTGTAACAATAGTGAATTTCTTTACAATTAAATATTTATGACGTAGTCTAACTGCCCGAAACACACAATGCTTCTCGCTGAGCTTGCGAATAACCTTGCATAGGAATAACAGGCCTGCGCAAGACACAGATTTCTGGTCTAAAACTGCATCAAAACACAGTGGTGATTTATCAATAATAAGTACGGAACGAAGACTTGTAAACTGAGCATGCAAAACAACATCACTACGAAAAAATTATAGTAGACATTGTATGCATGACTCTGGTTTCTCGCCTTATTCAAATGAGTTTTATGTTAAGATTCTAATTAAGCAAATAGTATACAAACATTTCAGTAGGAAAATGGAATTAATATTGAAGAATAATCCACAGTAAATGTAGTTTTACTAGCTTTTTGCTGATAGTGTGTTTTTCAGCGACTAGATATTTAAAAGATTGAAAACCAAATGCACATAATAAACACTGATTTGGATTAACCGTAATTATCTTCTAAATTAAAAGAATCAATAAAGCAATAAAACTTTGAACATTAGCTGCTTTATCAGGATTGTGAATCATAAAGACATAATAAAAACCAACAAACTCAAGATTACTTGCTACATTACTTATCAGTTATTGAAACGCAAGTAGTAAAAAATTAAGAAAAAACGAAATGTGGATGAATAATAAACATGATATATCTGTAATATCCCAATGTGTAGAAAAATTAAACTTTCTGGCACTTCATAACTCAATGTAATCTAATTCTACAGAGAATAAACTGACAAATTAATCCAAGCTTAATTAGTAAAAAGGCAAAAAGCTAAAATATTTGGTCTAATCAATAAAAATAGGTCTAATCAAGTTACTTTCATGTCATTTCGGTCGAGGCGAAATACATGAGGAGTGTCTGTATATTTGTATGTACGTATGTATTTTAAGGGATAAAAGATGTGACATTTGTGGCCCAAAAGGACAAAGCTGAGTTTTTTGTAGGATAATGGTGTGAGATGTGAATAGAACCAGACATGGTAGCTCGGATGGATAGTTGAAGTTGGATGGGTAATGAGGCCTTTTTTCTGTTGAAGGCATCAGGATTAGGCAATATATGGAAAGCTTCAGTGACTCTATTTTCTTTATTGTGGTAAAAGATTTTATATATTATTTTGAAGTTTTTAAGATCGACTTGAATATTATTGAGAATTGCATAGACTGCTATTGCCAATTCAATCCTCAGTCTTTTTAGTTCTATGGGGTTATTATGTTGTTTTTTGTGTACCTAAGACGTTCTTTGTCTCTTG